TTTTAAGCCCCACCCCCCCCCCCCCCCCCCTCTCCATCCTTCATCGTAGGGACCCACAATGAATCGCTGATATGCAAAGAGGAGGGCGCGAGCTCTCTCCCTGAACGACATTGAAATGTGGGAAAAAGCTGTGACGGCTATTCGCCTCGGCAGAAATGGATACAGCAGTTGCAACACCGGATTCCCTCCATTTAAATCTATGATGAACAATCGATTCTTGTCGGAGCACCTGGCCCCTCCGAGAATCGATACATTTCCATAGGTTTGAATGGAGAAAGACAATGTTACTGGATCCGCCAAAGCGCATTGGTCTGGATTCCTCTACGTCCCGAGAAGGTTCAAAAAAAGGACCACTAAAGTGGGTAAAAAATAAATCCCCAAGAGATATACTTGCGTAACTGATACAATGAAGGAAAACTAGAAGAAAATCCTGATCATCGGTTCGTTTAGGAGGTAGATTTAATAGATTAAGAACATTGGAAAAAAAAAAAACACATTGGATCTAGAGTCCAGACTCTTCAAAACATCGACAAGAAAAAGTACTCTTGATTCAATCAGAATCTAGCTTAAATCAAGAACAAAGCCTCTTAATTTAAGAGGATTTCGTTTTGATTCAAGAAAAAATCCGGTTTTCAAGACTCTGGACTCTAGATCCAATGTGTTTTTTTTTCTAGTGAATGAAAGAGAGTGAAAGAGTTTGATATGTAAAGTAAAGCCTTGATGCAAAAAGAAGGAGAATGAATAATAATAGACAACAAAGCAAACGTGGCGCCTGAATACAGCCTCTATTCGATATCCAATTCGATCCTGAATTTGCAAAACTTCGGATACTATCAAAAATAATCGCGACGACGTTTTCTCTTAGCACGAGAGCATCAAATCCTAAGCGCAGTTATTCCGACACCTCGGTTAATCCCTCCGGACTTGTCATTTTTGGCCTCGCTACTGCGCATGCGTCTCTAATGCGCATGCTTCAGATCATTACCGAGAATACGCAGATTTTACTTTCTTGTCCCCACCGCTCCATCGACGGCTCTCGACACGTGGTCGGTGGATATAAAAGTACATCCATGGCTCAACTCGGAAATCCAGCACCTCGATTGTGGTGTTTCAAAATTTCCGATTTCATTTCATAGTGAACATCATGAACCATCAAGTTTCACTGAAGCTTGTAAGATGCATTTGACCATTCAGGTGACATTTTTTGACCTACTGGGACATTTTGGACTTCCCAAACTGATTGCGGTAAACGCACGGGTCGTAAAATGGGATGTTGGAGTTTTTTAGCCAACGTGCTTGTGTGTGAGCTTTTTCCCTTTGTAATGAAATATCAGCTTTAAGCTGAACTTTTTACGCATGTTGGCTAAAAAACTCCAATATCCCATTTTGGACTTCGGTTGAAATTTAACAGATACCCAGCATGCTTGTTAAATTTTTACCAGAGATTAAATTTCGTAACCAGAGGTGATAGAATCGGACCTCACATTGTCATTGCAGGGCCTCTAAAAAGTACGTGAGGGTATGGATTCGATCGACATGAACCGATCGAAAATTACAAACTAGAATCGATCGACATGTGAAGAACGCTGTCAATTCGATAGACATGGAAAGATCAAAAAATGAAACCGTAAGCCGGTCGAGGTGAATCGATCTTCAAAAGTTGACCTATTTACAGTTTTGTAGATCGACTCATATGGATTTTGTCGATCGATTAACGGGTTTGTCGATCGATTCACGGAGTTGACAATCAATTCACTTATTTGTCGGTCGATTTACGAGTTTGCAGGTCGTTTCACGGTTTTCGATCGAATCACGTCGATCGGCTCAAGTTTTTCTTTTTCAATCGATTCATGTTGATCGAATCGACACAGGTTCTTTAATAATTTGTCGATCGAATCGGCGTTGACCGGTTCACGTTTTTATTTTTCGATGGATTCGACAAAACGGCAAAAGCTGGCGACGCTGAGGCTACCGAGAAGGAGTGCGCATGAGTGTTCGTGTCCGCTCGTCCAGGTCCACTTGCTTCGAGTCGCCGTCGCAGATAAGGATCGACTACTTTTTCGCATTACTAAAGCCGCAACAGCGCACAGTGGATCGAGTCACGAAGAGAGGTCACACAAAATTTGGAAACTTAAAACGCTTATAAATCCGTTTATATAAAACTTTGAGGTTCCATAATTGATTCAATTGGTTTTCTCGTGAATTGTTCATCCAGTTACACCCCTCGAACTTAGAAATGTGACGGAATAAACATCAAAATTTGCTGTTTTAGTCAAAAATTTCATGTGTCACCTCTCTAATTGACTCGACCTACTGTGCGGCGCGGCGCGGCGCGGCGTGGATCACAATGACCGACAGGTTTGCCCTGTGCCGCGTCGCGTCGACTCAGGAATTTAACGGGCATTCGAAAAAAAGGGCCAACCACGCTAGGGAGGAAAAAAGGCCTCGTGCTCAATGAATCGGAATCAGAATCAGAATCAGGAATCAGAGTAAACATCGACTGATTGTCAGCTTACCATTGACCGACGAAGTATCGATTAAAGTACATAGGGAGGGCACGGACATGTGGAAATATGGAGTTTTCAGGACCCCAAAAGGCAGCCAACCTTCTTACACGAAAAATGCTGCTGCCAATTTTCAGAGTTCAATATCAAAGCAAGGGCAAGAGTATTCATAATTGGACGTCTTTCTATCAAACAGATTTATTTGGAGGTGAGAAATATGATGCGTGCTCTTTAGTTCTCTGGCCGTAAGAGTGAATGAGAATAATAAAGCGCCAGTGACGTCAGTGGCGACGTCGCCGTTAGCGATCGTGGTTCGCATTAACTCATGAACCCTGTCCACAACGCTCTCGTGCCATGCCCGCGGCTCATGAATCCCGCATTCAGTTGGCACATAGTTCTCTTTGCTTAATTTAAAATCCCGCTTTTCCAACTCTTCAAAAGGAATCACGCCCACTTACCACATTGTTTCTTATCCGGCTTTCTTGAGCACATCCCATATTTTTCACCTGCACATGGTTCTGTTTGATAGAAACACGTCCAAATACAGTTACTTTCTTTCGTCGGATGCACAACGACAAGAGCATAAATATGAAAGGGTACTTACACATTTCTTCTCCGAGAACCCAGGTCTCCGGCTTGGAGTTGACTTCGACGAGGACGGTCGGGGTGCAGACTAGAAGGACCATGAGGTCGGCGATGGAGAGGTTGGTGAGGAAGATGTTGGTGGAGTTGCGCATGTCCTTCGTCTTGAGGATGACGATGGGGACCATGATGTTGCCGACGACGCCGATCCCGAGGATGATGATGCAGAGGACCATGGAGGTCGTGCGGATGTAGGCCGGGAAGACGGGGCCCCCGTCCTGGCTCGCCCCGGCCCCCACGGCGCCCCCCGCCCCGGCCCCCGCACCCGAGCCGTTGCCCCCCGAGAAGTTGCTCCCGCCCGGCACCACCGGCTGCAGCGGGTACGGGCTCAGCACGCTCAGGTTGCTTAGGATGCTCAGGTTCCCGCTCAAGCCGTTGCTCAGCGCGCTCAGGTTGCTGCTCAGGTTCCCGCTCAGGCTGCTGTTCAGGCTCGACGCGTTGCTCTCGACGACCGACGCGAGGACGGAAATCATGAGCCTGCGCACCCGCCCTTCTTCACCAGCTCATCGTGCTCCGGCTTCCGACAGACGCTCAGGTTGCACGGAATACTCAGGTTGCACGGAATACTCAGGTTGCACGGAATACTCAGGTTGCGGCTCGAGTTACCGCTCAAGTTGCAGACCAAAATTTAGTTTCTTGCTCTTCAGTTCAAGTCGCAGCTCAAGTTGCGGAGCAAGTTGACGTTCAGTAGCCCAACTTGCGGTTGTGTTGCTACTCAGGTTACCACTCAGGTCAATGTTTACTGCAGCGTTTCAGTTGCTGCTTAAATTGCAGTCTGTCGTGATCAAGTTCCAGTGTTCCAGCAGCTTAAGTTACGGATAAAACTACGGTTAAAGCTGCTGCTTAGGTGGATGTTCAAGTTGCTGTTCAAATGTCTAATCTGATGGTTGGTGTTCAAGTTGCGTAATTAGTTGCGCCTCAACCGGCTCAACTCAGGATGCTAGTTGCTCAATTGAAGGATGAGCACCGTAGTTTAACGTCAATAGCTTTTGGCGCTTAACTGATATTATGCAGCTCTATTTTGAGCCTCCGGCTCAATCTTTAATCGCAACGCAATTATTTGACAATCTTTTGAGAAAAACTGATGCCTTCGTAGTGCGGATCTGAAATGCCAGATTTGTGCAGTTTAGATTTCTTTGGTATAAAGTGACGTCTGTCGTTATTAATAAAACTAACTTTTTTTGCTCTTAAAACCTCGTCGCGGTTTATCACTAGTACCGAGATCCTTTCTAGCCTAAAATACTCGAGTCACAACCAAACTTTACAAACTAACTCGTACAAAATAAAGCATCTATACAATCATATCACAGCTCTTAGATCAGAATCTACGTTTCGAAGGTGTTCCAAAAACAGCCCGATCCCCCCAAACGACTCTTTCCGAACTTCCTCTATTCAGAAAATGTTCGGACCTCAACACTAAACACGGAGAGTATCCAACGATAGAAGAGTTTAATAGTTCTGAATAAAGGTCCGAATCGTCCACATTCCGCGCGTATTCTAAAGTGACAAACGAGGGCTGAGGATCAGATTTCTGGCTGACCGGTTCCTTCGTCGGTGAGGCGGGTGCTTCAAGTTTGGTGGTTGGTGGATTTTCGGGGACGACGCGCGAGGGCGACTGGTGTCTGTTGCGTTTCCGGTGGTTCGGGGCATTTTATCCTCCGTGGAAGGTCAGCGTGAACTTGCAGAACGGACGTCGGGGGCTCATAGCGGGGCGTGCAGGAAATTCCCCGACCCCTTGAATTTTCTCCCTGTCCATTCCTGGTTCCTCATGGTCCTTTCTCCATTGGCTGTGCCATCATCTGATCTGCGGAAAAAAAAACAAAATGAGAATTAAAATACATTTCATCGAATTATTAACAGAGTTTCTATACATTCTGCATACATATAGGTCGCTTTATAGAACTCCCTCGCGCTCTACGACTTCTAACCTCCACTGCTCTCAGCGAGAAATGGAGGTTCCATAAATTATTCATCTTCAAATTCCCTGACTCCAAAATTTTCTGAGTTCCTGACTTTCTCTGACCTCCCAGGGTGTTTACCAAAACAGGATGGCCAAACACCAGTGCATTCCCAAGAAATTCAGTACCTCCTCAACAGAAAAATTCAGAACTTTTTCAGTACCGCCATTTGACGAAATTCGAAAAATTCCGAAAATATGAAATTCTCGCTCGAATTGCGATAAAAGTGGCTCATATACAAAATTTCATTGGTGGCTTGAAGATTAACTGACTGCAGAATCGCGATCTTGCAGGCGAATGCTACTCTGAGAATCAACGCGCAGGGGATTGCATACTCTCCAGGCTTCATGGAAAAACACATGGCAAACTGGCGAAAAACCGCAAATTTTGAGGATGTTCCGGAAATAGTTGAAAATTCCGGGAATTCAGAAGATACCGGGAAAAGTTCCAATTATTTGAGAAGTTCCAAATTGTGGAAAACGCAGCACTGTTTGGAACTTCCTAACGTAGTTGCGTGGTTCTGCTCTTGGGCCATGGATATTGTCTCTGGGCTCCGCTGACCACCCCATCCATACGCATAGCGCTCCGCAAAAGGTATCCTTGATGAACGTATCGAAGTTGGGTCGTAAAAAGAGAAAATTTCATAAGCGTCACATCCGGAAAGAGAAAAAACCGCGGAACGTGGTGGAGCTGGTCGGCCGATAAAAAGTGGTCTAAATATGGTATGCTCGTGTCTTGAGTCAGAACCGCGTAACTATATAATAGGATTCCTACCAAGATGCGCTGTTATCGCCCAGCTGGGCAGTCTGTTGCAGCGCGTTTGAGTGGAGTCACCGAAGAATGACGAACGATATCATAGCCAATTCCGGCGTTTCTAGATTTGTGGCAAATCCACTGTTCCTGCTCTTGTGACTTAATGAAAAAAACACACATCCATGCCTAAAGTACGAAAGCACGTATCTCCGTTGTGGTGTTTCAAAAAGTCTGCTTCTACTCTTTTTTTAGGAGGAAAAAAACCAACTTTATAGCTTAAAATTTTTGAAGTTAAGCTAATGCTGCGGTTGGCCTATCAATGATGAGTTACTGAATTTTGCTGTTATAAAAATACGTTCAAAAGGGAGACCCCTTGAGAGTTAAAAAAACGCTACGGAAAAACTAAATTTTCAACACGGCAACAAAGCGGATCGCTGTCCGTAGACCTGCGAGATTTGATGCCTTTTGCCCAAACTTAACTTGCTCCGAGCGGAAATTCGTATGCATGCTTCAAATTATAAGTCCTCGCCGACATATAAATTGTTATTTAAAAAATTTTAAAAAGGTATCGAAAGCACATTTTTTTGAGTGATGATCAAACATTGTCTCACTGAGGTATGCTCCTTCAAAATTGCATTTGTCATCTGACGTATATATGACGGATGAAAGAAATTCATTTTTTAAAATCTTTGGTCATCTTCAAACCTAAGTTAACAGCACCGCAAGCTTCAACCACACGGCTGTGTAAATTTTGCGTCAGCTTGGAATTTTTTGCCTTCATTTTTACCTTGGGAAACCTACCAATAGAGAATAATTTTCGTTTAAAACACAAGAAATTTTGAGGCACCTTATTTAGTGGTCCACTTTAAAAATTGCAGTAGACTTAACGTGTCCTGCCTGGGATTTTGACGAGGGAACATGACATCACAGACGTCTAATTCTTGCTCCGCTTTGTGGTCAATTTGTCCCGAAAGCGCCGTGACACATATGAAATGCGCATAACGCTCCGAACTTTTTAGCATTTCACGAGCTAGATGAAAGGTACAAACTGTAAATGTAGCGGTCCAGCGCCTTTTACCGGGCAAAAATCCGCGTTAGTCAGCAATTCAGCATACATTACTCGTGCGACTTCAACACGCGCGATGTGAGTGATCGCGGTCTGCAGTTGCAGTTTTGAATAAGGGTGAGAAGCAAGGGTGTGAGACTGTCGTCGCGGAACCCTTTTCCTTGACCGAAATAGAGTAATTTTCCCGCACTAAGCGGCTACCCTGATCGCGAGCGGTCCCGGCGAATATTGCTGAAGTTTTTTCCCCCCACAGCCCGCATGTGGATCTACATAATGGGACCACAAAAAGCGGGGAAAATTATTCTTTTTTTCAGTGTGTGTGTGAAACTGACATGATGCAAGTCAGTTCGTCCGTTGAGGACTCGCAGTATTGCTGAAGCAAAAGTGCTTCACGGTGTACTTACTGGGCCCTGATGTGGTTGCAATATTTCCACGGAACCAAGAAAAAGAGTAGAAAAATTCAGTTCAAAAAGCAATATCGCTGAAAGAATGATAGGAAGATACATCGATGGTGGATGTAGAAAAGTATGCATTTCATTTTACAGTGTTCCAAACTTCATAAATGACCGGATCTGCGAAAAGGAACTTCAGCGATCGAAAATTCAAAATTTCAGCTATTTGTATCACTTGGCGGAGGAAAAAAATCTGGAGAATTTAGCGCAAGTTCAACAATTGAAGATTAAATATTGAGGTAAAAATGACTTCTTGAAGTTCCAAAATAAAAATTCTTGAGGGGTCTTAGAAAATCGTGGTTTAAGTTTTAGCGAAAAGTGATAGAAAATTTTGTCCCTGAAGCTAACTTTTTTTTCTCTCAGATATGGTCACCCATCATATACCTCATTCTTTCATTGGAAAAGTATTCAACATCATTTCTTTGCAATTTTCACTGCTTTTCTTCTCCTGGTGAAGGCTTGCTGCAGAATAACTCAAAGTTCCAATATTGTAATCATTGCACGTGGTTGACTGAAGTGTAGCCCCTTGTATTTTCATTAAGATTTTTCAAAATTGCTGCTCCTATTTCATTTTTTTGAGGAGAAACAAGCCAACTATGTAGCTGAAAATTCACGCAGAATATTCTGCAGACTGCTGACTGAAAAGAAAAATTAAAGAAGTTCTCTAGACGTTACGTTGACTAGTTTTCCACAGAAGAAATAAAAAAGGCAGAAAATCTGCAACGTCGCAAAGAGCGATACGTTGTTTCGGACTTTTCTATCGATTGAAAAGTGTTTTACGGATATTTTTTGTTCAAAAAGCACACCCGCATCAATTAAACGAAATATAAAATGTGAAAGTATACCCTTCCTGAAGACCAACAATTCTAAAATACAAAAAAAAAAAAAAAAAAAAAAAAAAAAAAAAAAAAAAAAAGACTTGCGCCTTTCTACTAAAAACAGATTCCCTTTTTCTCAAAATTTGATTTGGGAGGTTAATGACACTCTATTTGAGTTCCAATACACTGATACGAAAGTTGACACAGCCCACACTCACGAACTCAATCAAGTTAAAACTTCGGCGTGACCGATGGATCCGAGCTGGGACAGTCCAGACAGGCTCATCTGCCTCATGATTGAAAAAATTGCGCCGCTCGCGGCTCAATTACTCACAATTTCGCGAAAAATAAAGCATCAGGCGTTAAACATGCCAAAATTATGATAGATGGACGGGCGTCCTGTCAGGCCTTCGAGACCGCAACGGGAAGCGGGAAGGGGGAGGGGGTGACGGGATCCAAAACATTTTTATAAATATTAATTTCATAACCGAGAGAACACGGCCAGGCGAATGCGAACGCATGTTCGTGAAACCGCTCAGCACATCCAGTTCTTCTTGATTATATTAAAAATCGGCTATGAAACGGGGAGATTTAGATAAAAAATGATGGGTAAATTAAGTGCGTTGGGAGAAAACCTGGGTAAAGTTGCTGTGATATCGGAGAGAGCAGCAACAACCAACGAGTTCTTCGAACAATTCGTTTAGTGTGATTAAAATCAACTGACTGGTCCAGTTAAATGAAAGAAGTGGGTTTCTCTGCGCAAGATGAAATTTACGGGCAAGCAGGGAATGCACCAAAAATGACTTCATTTCCATAAAAATACAAACGAAGGAGCACTTCTTATTGAAATTTATTGCAATGAAATTGGAACAAGTTGCAATTTTTTATGGCATTGCACATTGCCTATCTTATTTCTGACACATGCAGCTCTTTTTGTTGATTGTTTAAAATCGGCATTTATTGAGGAAATCATGTGAAAATATTGCAATTTTAAGGTAAAGAAATTGCAATAAATCGCAATTTCATTTCAATTTTTTTAGTTGTACCCTGCTACTTGGGATGGAGAAATATCGAGAATCGATCCGAGCCTCGCTGCTGGCGAGAGGCAAGGTATAGCAACGCGTGCCGCACAGCAGTTCGATTCAATGAGAGAGGTCGGACATACAATTTTTTTACTAAAACTGCAAATTTCGATGCTTGTTTCGTCACATTTTAAACAGGGGATGCTTTGAGAAGAACATTTCTCGAGGAAACCAAAGGAACCACTTTTAGAGACTTAAAGTTTTGTATGTGTATAAGCGGAGTTATCAGCGTTTGCAAAGAGCGACGCCAAAAACGACCGTTTTTTGGCACAATTTGGGCCAGAAGGGATTTTTCTGAAACCGAGCCCATACGATACCTTATGATACTCTAAAACTCTGGTAAAAATTTTAGCTTGAGTATACGCCCGGTTTTTGAGAAATGAGGGGGCAAAGTTGCAAAATCGCCATCATTCTGGACAGCATTTCTACATCAAAAAGACGGGAAAAATGGACGAAAAAGTCAAATATTTGATGGGTTTCGGCTGTAAATGTTCTCATTGAGCCTCCAAGCATTTAACTGTGTTCAGTTTCAAACATTTTGGTCGCACAGTGGTCCAAAATGGGGAGAAATCGTCGACAAATCAGGATTCTTTGTCAAATTTTTAGAAATGGAAGTAAAATTGTCGGTCTGCTGCAGTTTTCATGGCTAACAATGTTCTTATTGGTCCTCAATGT